GGGAAAGTGGAAACGCTTTAGTATGCTAGAAAGTAATTGATTTTAATTATTTAAAGCTTAGCATGAAAATTTAGAGTTTGCATGAAAATTTAGAGTTTGCATGAAAAAAGCCTAAAATTACTTTGTACGAAAGCTGTTGCATAACAATATAAATTGGCATTGCTTTCTGATTTAGTCGCACGCAGTTCATTTAAAAACATAGCATCCCCGTAAAAGACGTCTAATTTTGACATAAATATATTTCAAAGTTTGACTAAAATTTTATGCTAGTCCATGTCTGGATAAACACCTGTTAGGGAGCAAAATTTTACAACATATTTTCCAAATTGCTTTTCAGTTTAATAATATGTTTTGACATTTAAAGTGCTCTTTTTGAACCTCTGTATTATTAGCAATTAGTACATGAATAAATAATTCAAGGAAATAGGTGAACACGACAGTTGAATTTGCCTCCATTATATACTTAGTGAGAACAGTTGTTAGTGCTCACGTTCATTCTGAGGGCCTAGCGTGTTCAGCGTTCTTACACGTTGGTTCCTTTAAAACGTGACATCCATGGGATTCAGACAAGTTTAACGTTTTGGTAAATTTGATAAGTTGCTGAAATTTTTGTTGAATTTCAACAACTGTCTTCAATTCATCCCGAATAAAAGTAAACAAAATGCTAAATAAAACGCCTGTTACGTTCCAGCTGATCGTCATCGATTTTTTTTAGAATAGAAGCCTATTTGTTGCCATACTGGGAAAATAATAGTACAGATTTGAAGGAAGTTGCAAATTTCGGTAAGTTTTTTTTCTTATTTTCTATTGAATCCATAAAATGTTTTACCTGACCAATCTTGTATGATCCTTGATGAATTGATATATTTGTGTCGAACTGATGGCTCCAAACAGGGCATGTTTGCATGGGCAACCGTCTATGGAGTGCATTTTATTTTGGGAACACGGATGTTGCGCGAACTTGTTTTAGCCGATGAAAATTGGAAATGCAGTTGTTGCCTAGGCCTGACTTAAAGTGCTTATGTCACAAAAACTTTTTTTTGATATTTGGTAGAGGACAAAAAGTTAGTTAATAGGTTCTTTAACATTTTTCGGTTTTCTCTTTTCATTCGCGAGATATGAGGTTCTAAACCTTGAAAAATTGGCTTTTAGCGA